CTCTGCCTTAGGCTCAGGTCATGATCTCAGGGTCCTGGGATACAGCCCTGCATCAGGCTCTCTGCTCAGCGGGGCCCCTGCTTCTCTTGCTCTCTCTCTCTGCCTCCCTCTCTGCCTACTTGTGATCTCTGTCAAATAAATAAATAAAATCTTTAAAAAAAACAAAAAAAAAAACAAAAAAAAACTATAAAGCATTGCTAAAAAAAAAAAAAGAGAGAACACAAATGAATGGAGATATCCTGTGCTTATGGATTGGAAGACTTAATATTGTCAAAATATGCATACTATCCAAAATGATGTAAAGATTCTGCGCAATCCATATTAAACACCAATGCCTTTTTTTTTTTTCAGAAGTAGAAAAAAAAGTCCTAAAATTTATATGGAATCTTAAAATATCCAAAGTCTCCAAAACAATCTTGAAAAAGAAGAACAAAATTGACAGCCTCAAAATTCCTGATTTCAAAACATAATACAATGAAACACTAATTAAGATAGTGTGGTACTGATATAAAGGTAGATGTATAGACCAACAGAACAGAATAGAGCCCAGAAACAAACCCGTGCATATATACCCTAATAATTTTTGGCAAAGGTGCCAAGACTAGAAAATGGATAAAGGACAGTCTCTTCAACAAATACTATTGGGTTACCTGGATATCCACATGTAAAAAAAACCAAAGTTGGACTCTTACCTTACACCATAAATTAAAATGGGTTAAAGACCTAAATCTAAGACCTAAAGCTATATAATCCTAGAAGACAACAGGAAAAAAGCCAGACACTGAAGTTGGCAATGATTTCTTGAGTATGATACCAAAAGAATAGTCAACAGAAACAAAAATAGACAAAAGGGACTACAACAAACCTAATAACTTTTTTTCCAAACCTAATAACTTCTATATGTCAAAGGAAACAATCAGAATGAAGAGGCAGTAAGGCAAATAAGAGAAAGTATTTGCAAATCATATATCTGATAAAGAGTTAATATCCAGACTACACAGAGAATTTCTATGACTCAACAAGAAAACAAATAACTGGATTAAAAATTAGGCAAAGGGGCACCTAGGTGGCTCAGTCAGTTAAGCAGTCGATTCTTGGTTTTGGCTCAGGTCATGATCTCAGGGTCCTAGGATAAAGTCCCGCTCTGATAGAGTGTGTCAGTCTTCATGCTCAGTGGGGAGTCTGCTTGTGGATTCTCTCTCCCTCTCCCCCAGCTTGTGCTCTCTCTCTCAAAGAAATAAATAATCTTTTATTTATTTATTTTTAAAGATTTTATTCATTTATTTGACTGACAGAGATCACAAGTAGGCAGAGAGGAAGGTAGAGAGAGAGTGGGAAGCAGGCTCCCCACTGAGCAGAAAGCCAGATGTGGGGCTCGATCCCAGGACTCTGGGATCATGACCTGAGTCGAAGGCAGAGGCTTTAACCCACTGAGCCACCCAGGCATCCCAATCTTCTATTTTTTTTAAATAAGATTTTTATTTATTTTTATTTGAGAAGACTAAGAGAGACACAAGCTGGGGAGAGGCAGAGGGAGAGGGACAAGCAGAGCCTCCACTGAGCAGGGAGCCTGATGTGGGGCTCATCCCAGGGCCTGGGATCATGATCTGAGCCAAAGGTCCAAAAGGCAGATGCTTAGCTGACTGAGCCACCCAAGTGACCCTAAATAAATCTTTAAAAAAAAAAAAAAGGTAAATAAATAATAGACTGTTCACCAAGGAAAATATACAAATGGCCAACAAGCAATTGAAAAGATGTTTAACATCACTAACTGTAAGAGAAATGCAAATCAAATCAATGAGCTATCACCTCACACGGTTACTATGAAAACAAGAAAATATGTGTTGAGGAGGACACAGAGAAATCGGAACCCTGTTGATGGGAAGGTAAAATAATGCAGCTGCTCTGCAAAGTGGCATGTAGGTTCAACATACTAAACGTTAAGAGTTGCCATTGACTCAGTAAACCTACTTCTAGGTATATACCCAAAATAACTCAAAGCAGGATCTCAATGAGATATTTGTACACCATGTTCACTGCAGCATTATTTAGAGTAGACGAGAAGTACAAGCAACCCAAATTCCACCAACGGATGAATGGATAAAGAAAATGTGGTTCAGGGGCACCTGGGTGGCTCATTTAGTTAAGTGACTGCTTTTGACTCAGGTCGTGATCCTAGGGTTCTGGGATCAAGCTCTGCATCAGACTCCCTGATCGGTGGGGAGCCTGCTTCTCCCTCTCTCTCTCCCCCTGCTTGTGCAGGCTTTCTGTCTCTTTCTCTCTGTCAAATGAATAAATACAATCTTAAAAAAAGAAAGAAAGAAAGAAAGAAAATGTGGTTCATATGAACAGTGGAGCAGTTTCAGTGTAGCAAGATGAAGTAGCTCCAGAGATCTGTTACACAACGGGACTGTTGTACATACTACTCAACACTACTATACACTTAAAATAATTAAGATGGTAAATTTAATGTTATGTGGGGTTTTTTTTTACAGTAAAAAATTTGATCTATTATTAACTTTTAGGCTTTCCTTTCCCTATGAATATAGACTTTCCTCCCAAATTGGGCCACATTTGTACGTATGATTTTATAACAAGCTTTTGCCCATTGACTACAGAATAAAAGCCTTTCCAAGTTACTCTCTATTCTTATAGGTCATTTAGAAATGTTGTCCAGTATTCCAATATATCAATCTACCACAGTTAATGGATTTCCTGTGGCTGGACACTAGATTTTATCCCTGTGAATAATACTGTGTGGCTAACTCATGTTATGCTTTTTAAATAGTGTTAATATCAGCTGTTTTCTCTCTCCTCTTCTAATTGGCTCTCAGCTGTTACACTCCTCCCTTTCTGTGATGAGATAACCAAGTTAGCTAAATCAGTTTACTTGTAATAAAACCTTGTTTGCAATTCTGCCATTTGCTCCCATTCTAGGTAAAGAGCTGTTACAGCAGCGGCTAAGGGAAGTGGTTTTTGCTTATTTGGGGGTATACTTTCCAGTTAGACCAGCTCTCCCAGAATTGGTTCTGACCTCCATGAATAAATCCAGATGGTGGCACATACTCTTGTGGTTGCTTCCCCCTCCTGCATCCACTCCCTCCCAGGGTCTTGAAACTCAGTCTACCTGGCCACCACCTCATTGGTACCTGTTTCTGATTTTCTGAAGTCTTGCTGCTCCTTAGCTAGGTCTAGGAGCTCAGGCCTTCTTGGACTCCTGATACTGGTATGCTTGCGTACTGCTGGTTTCTATTTCATTAACTCCTTCGCTTTAGTTTCTCAGACTTTTAGGTAACCCATAGCACGCACTTGTGCTTTTTGACAACTGTACTACTTAACCACCTTGGATCTAAGTTCACCACACTGTGTGTGTGTCTGTGTGCACATGCGCAAGCACATAAAATAGACTTCAACAATTACAACAAAACTCCCAAGTCACATATTACTAAGAAGCCTAAATGCAGCTAGATAGGCTCCTTTTTCCCAAACTTGCTTATAGAATCTTATGAAACACTTTGTAAAAAACACATCCCCAGGTCTAACCTACTGGATATATTATTCTGGATATGCAATTTAGTAAATACTCATGTAATGCTTGTAGCCAGGCAAATTTAGAAACACTACGTCCTTAATTTGCACCCTCAGAGCCTCTAGGACACTGGGAAGTTCAACTGGGACCCACAGGAGACTAGTAAGCCTGGTAGCATAGGGTTTATTCCATCACGTAGAAAAATCCTAGGAGTGAAGAAACACTGTAAAGTCTTTAGAACTTGAGACCAAAGCAGGAACTTAGGATCTTTTTACTCTTTCCACACCAAGGATGGTTTCAAACATATACCCCTTGGCTACAGATTCGATCCCAAATTTAGGGCTTCCAGAAGTGTTAGCTGGGAATCATACAGTTCTTTGAAAGAAATAACAATAGAATCTGGATCTTCTGAGGACTGAGTTCTTTGCATAAACTCTAAAATCATTTGGGGTGTATGTTTTATTAGGTGAGGTTCTAAAATCAGCTTAAATCAGGTTAAAAAATCAGCTCAATCCCAGATCTATGTCAGGTAGCTGTTCTGTTGTGCGAGCTATGTCATTATGGAGGCTTGGGAGAGGAAAACAGAACTGTGACACATAAGCCTCAACTCATGACAAGTCTTTGGCTTGGATCAACTATATGTAAGATATACAAGACATCACTCTTGTATATCTTACACAGATATACAGGCACAGGGAGAGGGCGCAGGAAGATCAAAACATGTCTGAGAATTCTAACAGAAGCTCACCAGAGCTGGTGAATCCTGACCCTACCACATACACTATTTATTCACATGAGACCACAATTTCCATTCCTCTTACAACCTGCCAACTTGAGGGGATAATGTGAGGAATAAACAGAATTATACAGAAGTTAGGCCCTGATAAAAATCAGTCTAAACTTGTTCAAGAAAACTCAAATGGTGGTCGATAAGAGAGTCAAAATTGGAGGGGGAACAAAATTATGAGGGGAAAATGCCTTGTTGGTCTGAATAATAAAGAAGTTTAAAAACTATTATTTCTCTAAGAGAATTTTCTTTAACATGAAGGACAGTCATGCTACTGATGTTTATTTGATAAGCAAGCTAAATATTTAAGCATTTTTTCCCCTCATGGCTTTAGAAATGATCTCCTTTCTAAAAAATAAACAAATATATATATATATATATATATATATATATAATGTCTAAAGGTAAACCTTTAAATGGTAAGACAGTAAAGTGATATAGAATGAGAAAAGCACTTTATTCAGTGCACACTGACAGTTTTTTTCAATTCCATTCATAATTGAATTTTTAAAAAACCTCTTGCAGAGTACTTTTTATGCTTTACTTAGAAAAAATACTGAATTTCAAGACCCTAAAGTTATTAATGAAAGCTTATATTCCTTTTAAGTATATTTGTACATATATACATATATATGTATATATTTAAATCACTCAAAGCAATTTTATACAAACCACTCAGAACAATTTTAAGAGCTGTTCTTTTCTGTATTTAAAATTGTCCTTTCAAATATTTAGAAGTTCCGTAGGTGGTGGCTTTAAAGGAATTTTTCCTAGAGTAAATTTCTTGGATTGAAATTGCTCCAGTTCTTCCGCTGTGAGTTGATCCTTGGGTGTGAATAATTTGTTATCTGTTGTGGTGCTGCCATTTGAGACTGGGAGAGAGGTAGATATGCTACTGTTTCCAAAGGTGTTGCTAGATGACTTGGAAAAAGCAGTGTGGGAATGTGAACCTAGACTACCAAAACCAGCCACAGAAGTACCACTTCCAAAGGCTGGGGCCCCTGGAGCTCCAAAAGAGCCAGCTGCCATGGAAGTTGGAAATCCTGAAAATCCAGGTGATCCAAAACCAGTGGCTGCAGGACTTTTAAAAGAAAATGAAGCAGCAGATGTGACTGCAGGTTTCCCAAATCCAAATGCTGGAACAGAAGTAGTGATGGCAGAACTGGCAGAGGATGCGGCTCCAAATGCTGGCGTATTCCCGAACATAGGAGGACTTCCAGAAGGGGCAGAGCTTGGTTTAAAGCTAAAATTCTGAGCATTAGCACTGCTGCTGTTATTCACTGGAAAACCTACAAAAATCAGAAAAAGGAAAAAATAACCTATTATAGTAAAGAATGTAACCATATTAACCACCCCTCCTTTTTCTCTTATTTCTACCATGTTTGAATGTGAGAAGCGTATTGGATGGAAGGAGAAGTGAAAAGAAGCTAGAACAAACCCATTAAACCCTGTTGTCCTATCTTTCTGCTACACCTGACCTCATTTGATCGTCCTCACTCATGGGTACAGCTTTGAGAAAGCTCTGGGATGAAGAGGTGGACTTTCACTTTCTGTTTCAACCTCAAATAAATCAGTCACATCCATTATCAAAGAAGTAACTCTTTCCTTAGCTATACTCTTTTAAGCAAATGTAGAGTGGTCACTTCATCTCAGTTTCCTCCTGTATAAATGGAGTGATTCTCAAGCCCCTTCCAGCTCTCAACTAAGACAAATCTGATGAAATTGTACTCTAATAATTAACATCTCTAGTGTTTGGCTAAAATTTTTCCGGAGTTGCCATTTTTATTTTTATACTTTTTATGACAGTTCAAACTACTCAGTCCTAATTTGCCTTTTTGTCTCTAAGAACCGCTGTTTACCTCTGTATACTAACTTAAAACAATTTTTCTTTTAAATTAAAAAAAAAAGTGATACAGTATTGTCACTTGAGACAATATTATGCACTGTGAAAAGAAGGTCCTCAATGTGCTTCTACCATAGCTACTATGTACTCTGATAAAACTTTTGAAAAACCATTGCTAAAATATACTCTGAAAGCCTGAGCCACAGGGTCTTTCAAAAAATGTGCCCAGTCTGACCCTTATTTCACAAATGATTAATGAGCCAAATTCTCTGAAGCTCCATTATAGAAGGTAGTAGAATCTGCAAGGATGATTTAAAAATCACTTAAAGAGAGGGAGGAAGATGGTATAGAAGTAGGAGACCTTAGTTTTCTCTGGTCCGTGGAATTCAGCTAGATAGCTAAAAAATCATTCTGAACACCTGTGAACTCAACTGGAGATCTAAGAAAAAAATTGCTGCAATTCTACAAATAGAAAAGTGACCACTTTCTGCAAAGTAGGAGATGCAGAGAGGTGAATCCAAGGTGATGTATCAGAAGATAAATGGCGGGGGGCAGGGGGGGGGCGATTTGTAAACTGGCTACCAGAAAGTGATACAGCAGTGGAGCACAATATGGTAACTTTTAGAAGTCCGTCTGTCCAGGTGAGGGAAATGCCTGCCTGAAAGGCGATCAGGTGGTGAAGCAGGGCAGAATCCTATGGGGGAGAGTGTGATCTCAGGACCCCAGAGTGCAAAGGAAGACCTGGGGTGCCTTAATATGGCAGAGATCCCAAGCATCAGAGTGGCAAAGCCAGCTACAAATGGCAAGCTCAGGAGTGGGCCTTCTGCTCCATGTTGCCATAAACCGCAAATTGTGGCATGGCTGGGCAACTGTTCTCTGAGCAGGGGCCCAGCGAGTGGCAGAACTGTGGTGAGACACGCCCCTCTTTGCCCGTGGGGAGGAGGGGTACGGGTATGAGCTGCAGGAGTCTGCAGGCTTTGGAGACTTGAAACAGAGTTGCATGCCTGAGATACAAACACTTGGTCACAGGCTGGATGAGCACAGAGTGCTAAAGGAGACCAGGAAGACAGCTTTTCCCTGAGGACGTACTGAGGAGTGAGGGGTATGAGCTTTCAGCTCTAGGGTTAGAGACTGGGAGGCTGCCATTTTCATTCTCATCCTCTAACACAGCACGGAAAGCCTTCAGGGAACAAAAGCCACAAAGAGCAATCTGGAGTGCTTACACTTAGTGCGGCCCCCCTAGCAAAGGCAGTGCAATTCTCCCTGGGACAAAGACACCTGAGAATCAGTGCAACAGGCCCCTTTCCCAGAAGATCACCAACAACATCCAGCTAAGATCAAGTTTACCAATCCAAGAGAACTACAAAACTTCAGCGCTAGAGAAAAACAGTACATAGAATTCATGGTATTTTCTAATGATTCCTCAGTCTTACTTTTTTTTTTTTTTTTTTTAAAGACTTTATTTGAGAGAGAGAGAGAGAGAGAAAGCACAAGCAGGGGGAGGGGAAGGCAGAGGGTGAGAGAGAAGCAGACTCCCTGCTAAGCAGGGAGCCTGATGTGGGGCTTGATCCCAAGACCCTGGGATCATGACCAGAGCCAAAGGCAGACACTTAACTGAGCCACCCAGGCATCTTACAGTCTTTGAATTTTAACTTTTTTTCTTTTTCCTTTTCAAGCAATTTCTTATTTTATCAACTCTTTTTTAAGACAAGGATGTCATACATCCTGCTTTTTTTTTAAAGATTTTATTTATTTATGTATTTATTTGTCAGAGAGAGAGAGAGAGCGAGCGCGTACACAAGCAGGCAGAGTGGCAGGCAGAGGCAGAGAGAGAAGCAGGCTCCCTACAGAGCAAGGAGCCCAATGCGGAACTCAATCCCAGGACTCTGGGATCATGACCTAACCCGAAGGCAGCGGCTTAACCAACTGAGCCACCCAGGCATCCCTTGGGTGAACCTAGACTACCCTTATCAACTCTTTTAAGTATTTTTAAATTTTCATTTTTATGGTTATATTCTATCCTTTCATTGTATTTAATTGGATTTTTGTATATACATAAGTTTCTCTTTCTTTACAATTTTGGGATCTAGTTTTCTAACAAACAGACCAAAATACACCCAGGATCTCTTGCATTGCTCTGCTCTGTTCATATGTCTGATTATATTCTCTCTCTCTTTTTAATTTTCTTTTTTTTTTTTTTTAAAGATTTTATTTATTTATTTGACAGATCACAAGTAGGCAGAGAGGCAGGCAGAGAGAGAGGAGGAAGCAGGCTCCCTGCTGAGCAGAGAGCCCGATGCGGGGCTCGATCCCAATACCCTGAGATCATGACCTGAGCTGAAGGCAGAGGCTTAATCCACTGAGCCACCCAGGTGCCCCTTAATTTTCTTTTTGGTTTCAGGTCTCTTCTGATTTGTTTACTGTATATTTCTCTGAGTTCATTGTTTCTATTTTAGTATTTTGTTCTCTCATTCATTTATTCTTCTATGGACAGAATGACAAGACAGAAAAACTGACTTCAAAAAAGAAAACAAGAGGCAATACTGACTGCCAGAGACCTAATCAGTATGGATATAAGTAAGATGTCAGAATTAGAGTTCAGAATAGCAATTGTAAAGATACTGCTGGGCTTGAAAAAAGCGTAGCTGACACCAGAAAGTCCCTTTCTGGAGAAATAAAAGAACTAAAATCTAATTAAGTTGAAATAAAAAAAGGCTATTTATGAGCTAAAATTTAAAAATGGAGGCTCTAACTAATACGATAAATGAGGCAGAAGAGAAAATTAGTGATACAGATGACAAAATGATGGAGAATAAAAAAGCTGAGAAAAAGAGATATAAACAACCACTGGATCACAAGGTGAGAATTCAAGAGATAAGTGATACCAAAAGTGAAACTATATTAGAATAATTGGGATCCCAGAAGAAGAGTAAAGAGAGAGAGGAGAAAAAGGTATATTTGAGGAAATTATAGCTGAGAACTTCCCTAACCTGGAAGGCAAACAGGCATTCAAGTCCAGGAGGCACAGAGAACCCCTCTCAATATCAATAAAAATAAGTCAACGCTTCAACTTATAATAGTGAAGCTTGCAAATTTCAGAGACAAAGAGAAAATCCTGAAAGCAACTCAGGACAAGAGGTCCTTAACCTAGGAGGGTAGAAACATTTGAGTGGCAGCAGATATATCCACAGAGACCTGGAGGCCAGAAAGGATTGGCATGATATATTCCGGGTGCTAAATAAGAAAAATATGCAGCCAAGAATACTTTATCCAATAAGGCTGTCATTCAGAAGAGGAGAGAAAAGAGCTTCCAGGACAAACAGAAACTAGAAGAATTTGTGATCAATTAACCAGCCCTGGAAGAAATATTAAAGGGGATACTTTAAGTGACAAGAAAGCCCAAAAGTAACAAAGACCAGAAAGGAGCAGAGACAATATACAGAAACTGACTTTATAGATAATACAATGGCACTAAATCCATCTTTCAATAGTTACTCTGAATGTAAATGGGCTAAATGCCGCAAAGGACATGGTATCAGATTGGTTAAAAAAGCAAGACATGGGACGCCTGGGTGGCTCAGTAGGTTAAACTGCTGCCTTCGGTTCAGGTCATGATCCCAGCATCCTGGGATAGAGTCCCACACATCAGGCTCCTTGCTGCAGGGAGCCTGCTTCTCTCTCCGCCTCTGCCTGCCACTCTGCCTGGCTTGTGCATACTCTCTCTCCCTGACAAATTAAAATAAATAAAATCTTTAAAAGGTTTTTTTTTTTTTTAAAGATTTTATTTATTTATTTGACAGAGATCACAAGTAGGCAGAGAGGCAGGCAGAGAGAGAGGAAGGGAAGCAGGCTCCCTGCAGAGCAGAGAGCCCGATGCGGGGCTCAATCCCAGGACCCTGGGATTAGACCTGAGCTGAAGGCAGAGGCTTTAACCCACTGAGCCACCCAGGTGCCCCAATAAATAAAATCTTAAAAAAAAAAAAAAAAAAAGCAAGACACATCCATATGCTGTCTGCAAGAGATTAATTTAAGCCCAAGGACACCTTCAGATTGAAAGGAGTGGGTGGAAAGCCATTTATCATGCTAATGGACATCAAAAGACAAATTATATTTTAAACCAAAGACTGAAATAAGAGATAAGGAAGGACATTATAACATAATTAAAGGGTCTATCCAACAAGAAACCTAATAATTGCAACTATTTACGCCCCTACCATGGGAGCAGCTATTTATAGATAAACCAGTTAATAACAAAATTAAAGAAACACCTTGATAACAATACAATAATAGTAGGGGACTTTAACACCCCACTCACTGCAATGGACAGATAGTCTAAGCAGAAGATTAACAAGGAAATAAGGGCTTTAATTGACACACCAGACTAAATGGACTACAGATATATTCAGAACATTCCATCCCAAAGCAACAGAATACACATTCTTCTCTAGTGCACATGGAACATTCTCCAGAATAGATCACATCCTGGGTCACAAATCAGGTCTCAACTGGTACCAAAAGACTGGGATCATTCCCTGCATATTTTCAGACCATAGTGCTTTGAAAATGGAACTCAACCACAAGAGGAAAGCTGGAAAGAACTCAAATACATGGAAGCTAAAGACCATCCTACTAAAGAATGAATGGGTCAACTAGGAAACTAAAGAAGAATTTAAAAAATTCATGGAAACAAATTAAAAGGAAAACACAATGGTTCAAAAGCTTTGGGATGCAGCAAAGGCAGTCCTAAAATATACAGTAATATAGGCCTTTCTCAAGAAACAAGAAAGGTCCCAAATAGAGAACCTAACCTTACACCTAAACTAGCTGGAGAAAAAAACAGCAAGTAAAGCCTAAACCCAGCAGGAGAAGAGAATCAATAAAGATTAGAGCAGAAATCAATGAAATAGAAACTAAAAGAACAGTACACCAGATCAATGAAACTATGAGCTGGTTCTTTTTTTTTTTTTTTAAAGGTTTTACTCATTTATTTGACAGACAGACACACAGCGACAGAGGGAACACAAGCAGGGGGAGTGGGAGAGGGAGAAGCAGGCTTCCCGCTGAGCAGGGAGCCCAACTCGGGGCTCGATCCCAGGATGCTGGGATCATGACCTGAGCTGAAGGCAGACACTTAAGGACTGAGCCACCCAGACACTCCCTATGAGTTGGTTCTTTGAGAGAATTAATAAGATTGATAAACCCCTGGCCAGGTTTTCCAAAAAGAAAAAGAGAAAGGACCTGAATAAATAAAATTATGAATGAAAGTGGAGAGATCACAACCAACACCAAAGAAATACAATTATAAGAACGTATTATGAGCAACTATAGGCCAACAAAGTAGGCAATCTGGAAGACATGGATGCATTCCGAGAGACACATGAACTACCAAAACTGAACCAGGAAGAAATAGAAAACCTAAACAGACCCATAACCAACAAGGAATTTGAAGCAGTCACCAAAAATCTCCCAATAAACAAGAGTCCAGGGCCGGATGGCTTCCCAGGGGAATTCTATCAAACATTTAAAGAATAATGAATACCTATTCTTCCAAAGCTGTTTCAAAAAGTAGAAATGGAAGGAAAACTTCCAAACTCTTTCTATGAGGCCGGCATTACCTTGACCCCACCAAAAAGGAGAATTACAGACCAATATCCCTGATGAACATCAATGCAAAAATTCTCACCAACATAATAGCCAATAGGATCAATCAGTACATTAAAAGGATTATCCACCATGACGAAGTGGGATTTATTCCTGGGCTGCCAGGGTGGTTCAACATCTGCAAATCAATCAATGTGATACACTACATTAATAAAAGAAAAAACAAGAACCATATGATCCTCTCAACAGATGCAGAAAAAGCATCTGATAAGTACAGCATCCTTTCTTGATTAAAGCTCTTCACAGTGTAGGGATAGACGGAACACACCTCAGTATCATAAAAGCCATATCTTATAAATGGAAAGCCCACAGTGAATATCATTCTCAATGGGGAAAAACTGAGAGCTTTTCTCCTAAGGTCAGGAACATGACAGGGCTGTCCACTCTCACCACTGCTGTTCAACATAGTACTAGAAGTCGTAGCCCCAGCAATGAGACAACAAAAAGAAATAAAAGGCATCTGAATTGGCACAGAAGAAGTCAAACTCTCATGCTTTGCAGATGACATGATACTCTATGTGGAAAACCCAAAAGACTCCACCCTCAAATTGCTGTAACTCATACAGGAATTCAGTAAAGTAGCAGGATATAAAATCAATGCACAGAAATCAGCTGTATTTCTATACACTAAGAATGAGACACAAGAAAGAGAAATTAAGGAGTCGATCCCATTCACAATTGTCCCCCAAACGCTAAGATACCTAGGAATAAGAGGCAAAGGATCTGTATTCAGAAAACTATAGAACAATCATGAAATTGAGGAAGACAAAAGGAAATGGGAAAACGTTCCATCCTAATAGATTGAAAGAACAAGTACTGTTAAAATGTCTATGCTACCTAGAACAATCTATACATTCAACTGAGGGTTCCTGGAGGGGAGGGTGTTGGGGGATGGGGTAACTGGGTGATGGACATTAAGGAAGGCACGTGATTCAATGGGCATTGGATGTTACATAAGACTGATGAATCACTGAACTCTACCTCTGAAACTAATAATACACTATATGTTTTGTTTTTTTTTTTAAAGATTTTATTCATTCACTTGACAGATCACAAGTAGGCAGAGAGACAGGCAGAGACAGAGATGGGGAAGCAGGCCCCCCGCAGAGCAGAGAGTCTAAAGCGGGGCTCGATCCCAGGACCCTGGGCTCAATCTCAGGACCCTGGGATCATGACCCGAGCTGAAGACAGAGGCCTCAACCCACCGAGCCACCCAGGCGCCCCCACACTATATGTTAATTAAATGAATCTAAATTTTAAAAAATTAAAAATAAAAATATTTTAAAAATTAAAAAAAATTAAAAGCCACTTAACATACCTTCAGACTTTATGATCTAAAACCTCTAAAATCCCACATTTCTAAAATTAATGAAGTCTTGCATTACTTTATCATTTACCTGGTGATCCAAATGTTACTGCATTTGTACTGCCAAATCCAAATGCAGATGCTGGTTGATTTATTCCATCCTTTACATCTGAGAGCTTTAAAAAAAAAAAAAAGTAGGCAAATAATAGAGTAATTAATGAATAATTCTGAGTTACCTTTCCCATACACTTTATAGGCAAATTCAATTTTTAAAATGTACACTTAAAAAATATGTTTAACATAGAAAAATGCCCGCAATATGAATATGCACAGAAGAAGACAGACCAATCTCAATGAGGTAAGAGCAACTGGCTGATGAATTATGGGTGATTTTAATTTTAATTTAAGCTTCTAAAATATTTTCTAAATTTCTTCAATGAATATGTTTGAAAATGAAAAAAAATTATAATAATATTTTTCAGTGTCTATAGGTTAATTATCAAGAAACCTAGATTTCACATAAAGGGCCTTTAGAGGCTACCCAATCCCAATCTGCTTACTCTAATACTTGACCTCAAGCTGATTCACAATTACATTAAAAGCTTACTATTGAACTCTAGTAAATATTTCCTATCCCTGAGAATACTTTTTGTTCTTGCTATTTTCTACACTAGAAATGTTTTTCATCTGTGCATAGTGAAATCTTAATCTCCCTTTTTAAAAAAAAATATTTTATTTATTTATTTGAGAGAGAAAGCATGAGCAGGGGATGAGCGGTAAAGGGAGAGGAGGGATGAAGACTCCCCACAGAGCAGGGAGCCCGATGTGGGGCTTGATCCCAGGACCCTGAGATCATGACCTGAGCCAAAGGAGATGCCCAACTGACTGAGCCACCCAGGTGACCCTTTAATCTCCCTTTTGAGGAACTTTCCCTTACTCCTTACCCCCAAGAATCTTTTCCTGATCAACTCAAACAGATATGATCTCTCTCATTTGGAAGCCTCAATAGCATTGTTCAAAAATCAATTTCACTGAAGTGTAGTTTATAAGCAATAAAGTGCATCTGTCATACATACATATATTTCAGTGAGTTCTGACAAACTTATAGCCATGACAATAAAGATTTAAAATATTTCCATCACGCTTCAAAGATCCCTTGTGTTCCTTCTCAGTCAAGCCTCTCCCAAACCCTAGGTACCATGAACCACTCATCTCCTTCCTATCACTATACATGAGGTTTGTTTTCTCTTTTCTAAAGATTTATAAAGGGGCGCCTGTGTGGCTCAGTCATTAAGTGTCTGCCTTCGGCTCAGGTCATGATCCCATAGTCCTGGGATCGAGCCCCGAATTGGGCTCCCTGCTTGGCGTGAAGCCTGCTTCTTCCTCTCTCACTCCCCCAGCTTGTGTTCTCTCTCTTGCTGTCTCTCTCTGTCAAACGAACAAATAAATCTTAAAAAAAAAAAAAGAGAGAGAGAGATTTTTAAAAATTTATTTATTTGAGAGAGAGTGAGTAGGAGGGAGAAGGAGAGAGAATGTGAAGCAGACACTGCACTGAGTGCAGAGCCCGACAAGGGCTCAATCTCATCGCCCTGAGATCATGACCTGAGCTGAAATCAAGAGTCAGATGCTTAACTGACTGAGCCACCCAGGTGCTCTGATGAAGTTTGTTTTCTTTAGTTTTTCATATAAATGAAATCACATAGTATGTACTTTTTTTCTTTTTTCTTTTTTGGTCTAGCTTCTCTCCCTCAGTGTAATATTCAACAGGTAAATAGATAAACATATACATATGCTGGATTAAAAGAACAAAGAATTAACTACTTGGCATAAAGAATAAACTACTGACACATTCTAAGCCCCTTGTGGGTGGACGGTTCAGGACCCTCCTCACCTCTGGAGAGCTGACAAAGGGCAAGGAAGTTCTAATCCCAAGGGAAGTTCTGTAGTTCTTTGGACTCAGTTATCTCTTCTACATTAGCAGTGGTGAGCTGGGCCACCTCTCACATAGGGACAGAATACTTCCAATATGTCCTACTAAATTTAAATGGTATCATAACAACTAAACAGTGAAGAAATGAACTCACCCAAAAGTCTGTCTAGGAAGTACATAATTAAGAAAGGGGTGGGTGCTGGAATGGTCACATAGTCATTTATTAAGTTAGACAACCACAACTCTCATATCCTTTTCAGAAAGTAGAAGCATAAATCAGCTGGGAAACTGTAAATATCTTATTTCAAAATAAGGTTCCTAAAGAGTTTTTATGGGAATAAAACATCATAACTTTAGTGATAGAGATAATGAATATGCTACAGTCGGGACCATGTATCTTTGGAGACAAGTGGGTATATATCTACTGAAGGCATTTCTATAAAAGTCAGGGAACATATGGTGAGTGTTTTTCAGTCACAAAAGTATACATTAGTCTAAATGTATATTCATATCATTTTCCAGAGCAATTTCTTTGTAAATGCTGATAATGTTACATACTTAAATTTATATAATATTTTCAAAACTAGACCACCAGAGTAAAAAAACTTTACCCTAAAAATAGTTTTAGGAAAGCAAAGTTATCTGTGCTTTTCTGACTAAGGAACAGAGAGAAAGCAATTCCAGGACTGTGACTTTAAATGATGATACAGTCTTGAGAATGTGTGTGTATCATAATTCCTGACAGAGAATTTTAGTCTTGCTTTTCAAATTCAAAGTGAAATTCTCTGCAAAAAAGCAACAGACAAGATACTTCCAGTAGAAAACTCTCCAATACTCACCAAGGCTATGTTAGTTGATGTATTTAGGCTCTTCAGTTCATTTATTCTATTTCTCCATTGATTTATTAACTGTTGGAGGGAATTTAGCTGAAGAGAGAAGACAGAAAAATAATGAGTCAATTTTGAGTGTTTTAACTTTGTTTCTCCAACAACTTCATGTCTTTACTTGCCAAAATCACAAAAAGTTTATAAAACATTTTTATGGCAAATTGTACAATTTGCCCAAGATATTCCAGCTATAGTTTCCTCCCTGTTCTCCAACTCCTGGTGTCCCCTGGTTCAGAATCTCAAGTATGTGGCAGCACAGAGAGAGTTATATCTGGATGGGAGGCAAACATGGGTACTAGTAGAAATGTTTGATCATGACTGTAGACAACACAAAATACAGTTTATGTCATTTCCTTTAGCACCAAACTTACTTAAGCCCAGCTTTTTTATTTTTTGACATCTGATACACTAGAATGTTAATATGTACAGATGGTGTCTTTTTTCACTTTGTTTTTCTAGCATTCATCATGGTGTCTGCACCTAAGAGATGCTCCATAAATGTCAAATGATGAAAGGGTCTGACTTCTAGGAATAACCACTATTATTTCTAATAAAAATAGTGACATTCCTAGTTATATAGCCAAAATATATTATTACCACGTTAGATAACCAACCAATTTCAAAGAAAGTAATTTAGAAAATACAAATAGCCTTGTCTTGAGAAAAATTCTAGACCTCATCCACTTTGCCAACATATAAGCAAGCCACTACAAACAGAGAAGACAGTAATTAACAGCTAATCTGGTATCAAGGTAGATGAATAGGAAACAAACTTACATAACTCTGTAAGTTATTGCTGGTTAAGAAGTTATGGTATTCAAGCCTCAACTCCTCTGGTGAAATGTCTGTAAAACCTGAAGTGAGGAATCAATTGGAATCTTTAAAATAAATACCAATACTTTTAATAGTATAGTAAAGCTAGAAGTTCTAGACAAGAAAATATGCTGATGTTGATCATAAGGAAATTTTTATAATCATAAGGAAAAATTTCAAAGCCTATATCCTAATGTTGAACTAAGTATAAAATTAAAATAAAATACAATTGGATATCTGATTTTCAAAGGGAGAAATTTTCTAAAGATAAATGGAATGGAAGGAATAACAAAGAAAAGAAAGGGTTGACCACATACACATCCAAACTTCTGTCTAAAAAATATTCTGCATGCCAGAAACTATAAGCAAAATTAAAAGGCAAATGATAAACTGAGAAAACCATGACTGTAACATATATGACTGGAGAAGAGCTAATGTCAATGTATAAATAGTACTTACAAACCAATAAGAAAAATAAGTTAATATGGGCAAAAAAATTCAAATAGCCAGTAAATAAGTAAAATAAAAGAGTTGAATTTAAAAATACAAATAAAAATAGAGACAAAATGCTTTACTTAATGGAAAAAATTAAAAATGGATGGTATTTACTATTATTAAGGATGTGGTAAAATGGATATTCTCCTAAATTGCTTTTAAGGGAATTAAAAAGGTGTTTTGCTGGGAGAAAAATTGTAAATAAGCATCAAATGTCTTAAATATGTTTACACCTTCTGTCCTTAATAGAATTTCTAGGATTTAACCTCAGGAAATAATTAGATATATAAACAAAGAGTTTTATTTATGAAGATGTTCATTCTAGTATTTTTAGTAGTAGAGACAAACTGAAAACAACAAAGTAGAATACAAAACTAGATTATGATCCTAATTTTATATATTTATATGTATACAGGAAATATGGTTGTATGTGCATATTTTGAAAGAAAGACTCAAAAATGTTATAGTTGTTATCTCTATGAAATCAGGTGATCTTTATTTTGTTTACATATTTCTGTATTTTTCAAGTCTTTTATGGCAACATCCATAAATTTATAATTAGGAAAACTTTTAAAGAAAGTTCAGGATGTTTTCTACAGAGAATTACTCATATCCCACACATCATTAACTCCACAGACCCCTATACCCCAGAATAAAGAAAAGACTAAACGTTCAAATTAGAACCTTGGAATCTTTTTTTTTTTTTTAAGATTTTATTTATTTATTTGACAGATCACAAGTCGCCAGAGAAGCAGGCAGAGAGAGAGAGGGAAGCAGGCTCCCTGCTGAGCAGAGAGCCCGATGTGGGGCTTGATCCCAAGATCCTGAGACCATGACCTGAGCCGAAGGCAGAGGCTTAACCCACTGAGCCACCCAGGCACCCCAAAAACCATGGATTCTTCTAACAATTTATCTTTATACCATCTTTATTAACTGTTCAGGCCAAAAAACCTAGGAATCCCCTTGCATTTCTCATTCCTCACATCTAATTAATCAGCATCCTGCCAGTTCTAACTCCAACAGAACATGGATTTGACCAATTCTGTCTCCACTGCTAGTAACTATAATTCAGTCAGTCACAAGCATTTGTCTCCTAACTCATCTCCTTGCCTCTATTTTGCTTCCCACCCCCACCACTCCCTACACACCATTTCTTTTCATACAACAGTCCAAGTGAGTTTTTTCTAATCAGATCATGTCCTTCTCCCGCTTAAAGCTCCACATGGCTACCTAGAACAATTAGGCCCAATATGATGGGGCTCCTGGCTGACTCCATGGCCTGTGTCCTATGATTCTTTCCCTTATTCACTCTCCTCCAGTGGTTCAGGCCTCACTAGTCCTCAAACTTGGCAACCTTGTTCCTATAAGGACCTATGCACTAGTTATTCCCATTGCCAAGAATGTTTTCCCCAAATTCCCCTAAGTGACAACCTTCTTTTCACTTAGGACTCATCTTCAATACTTTCTCCTAAGAATGGATAAACACTCTAGCTAAAGGAATGCTGTCCCTCAAGTCACTTTTTCCTCCTTACAGCTGTTCCTCCTCTGAGCCCCACAGGACACAGAAAATTATGTGAGTAAGTATTTTCTCAATTCTCTCAAGGGTGATACAAAAATAGTATTATTTTAGATGCACAGGAAAAGTTAATTCATTATAATTGATGTCTAAGGACAGCAGTTGGGTGCCTGGGTGGCTCAGTAGGTTAAATGTCTGCTTTCAGCTCAGGTCATGATCCTAGGGTCCTGGGATGGAGTCCTGCATCGGGCTCCCTACTCATGTATCTCCCTCTACCCCTCCCCCCTGCTTGTGATCTCTCTCTCTCAAATAAATAAAATCTTAAAAAAAAAAAAAAATCCAGGACAGCAGTTCCCCACCTTCCTAGTTTCATGACCCAAACATATTCTTAAAAATCATTTAAAAACCCCCAAAAGCTTTTGCTTATATAGGTTATACATATCAATATTGACCATATTTAAAATGAAAAATAAGAAATACAGAACATATTTATTAAATCACATAAAAATAAGAAACCAGGGGCACCTTAGTGGTATGTCAGTTGAGCATCCAACTCTTCGTTTCATCTCAGGTCATGATCTCAGGGTCATGGGATCGAGCCCTGTGTTGGGCTCCATGTTCACCTTGGAGTCGACTTGAGATTCTCTCTCTCTCCCCCTCTTCCTCTGCCCCTCCCCCTGCATGCACTCTCTCTCTCTCAAATAAGTAAATACATCTTTAAAAAAAAAGGAACCAACTACATATCAACATAAATGAAGACTAATTTTCAAAGCGAAAAATAAAAATTTAGTGAGATGAGTAGCATTGTCTTATGTTCGCCCATTTTTAAATATACCTTAATTTAAAAATATTTTATTGCTAAAAAATGGTAACTCTCTTCAGAACTTTCAGCGAGTCATCAGCTTTTTGCTGATGGAGGGTCTGTTTGTAAATTATTTTAATGTTTGACTTTAATAGAAGACTGCTGGATTATTCTGCTTCTACATTCAATCTGTTGTAATATGTTGCCTAGTTGAAGTATATGAAGAAAGTTTGTTCTAATACAGGCAAGTAGTTGGAAATGGAGGACTTAAATAGCTTTTTCAGGTAATTGTGGACATTCTTCTTTGACACTACCTCAAAATTTGAGAGGTTGTAGTTTCTTAAAGGCTATAATGTAAACTCAAACCATATTCATTAACTTTTTGTACTACTATATTAAATCCAGTGGTTTACCTTGCACTTAGAAAGGATTTTTCAGCCATGCATAATTTTCACCTGAAAGCCTGAATTTTGTCACTGGCAATAAACCGTCATTTTTTGGTACGCCTGGGTGGCTCAGTTGGTTAAGTGTCTGCCTTTGGCTCAGGTCATGACCCCAGAGTCCTGGGATAGAGTCCCAAATTGGGCTCCTTGCTCAGCAGGGAGCCTGCTTCTCCCTCTGTCTGCTCTGCCTGCTGTTCTCCGTGCCTCTGCTCTGACAAATAAATACATAAAAAAATCTTAAAAAAAAAAAAAAAAAAAAAGATTGGGGTGCCTGGGTGGCTCAGTGGGTTAAGGCTCTGCCTTCGGCTCAGGTCATGATCTCAGGGTCCTGGGATCGAGCCCTGCATCAGGCTCTCTGCTCAGAAGGGAGCCTGCTTCCCCCTCTCTCTCTGCCTGCCTCTCTGTCTACTTGTGATCTCTCTCTCTCTGTCAAATAAGTAAATAAAATCTTTAGAAATTTTAAAAAAAGATTAAAAAAATAGTCATTTTTTTTTCTTTGAGGTGACAGGCTTACTTCATTAGTTTTTTTAGAAAATGTTGCCAAATACCAAAGTCAAGGTAATGACAGTTATCATTCTTTCAAGTAAATATTGTCTGTGAAAAAAGTGGCTAGTTGAGCTCACAACTCAAATGATAACCTCAGTGCTTTCCCTCAAGACAACTATCATATCCGAGTATGTGGCAGAAGCACTTATGTGTGCTTCCCATTTTGTCACACAGATTAAAAAGGTGTGCATTCGGGACGCCTGGGTGGCTCAGTTGGTTAAGCAGCTGCCTTCAGCTCAGGTCATGATCCCAGCGTCCTGGGATCGAGTCCCACATCGGGCTCCTTGCTCAGCGGGGAGCCTGCTTCTCCCTCTGCCTCTGCCTGCCATTCTGTCTGCCTGTGCTTGCTCTCTCTCCCTCTCTCTCTCTCTCTCTGACAAATAAATAAATAAAAAAATCTTAAAAAAAAAAAAAAAAGGTGTGCATTCAAGGGTCAAGATTAATAAAATCAACATTTTTACTTCTTTATCAGAAATTTTAAGTGAAAAATGGCATTAAATTTTTTTTTTTTTTTTTTTTTACAGTGGTGCCTGGCTGGTCAGTCAGAGGAGCATGTGACTCTTTTTTTTTTTTTTTTTTTAAAAGATTTTTTTTATTTATTTGACAGAGAGAGATCACAAGCAGACGGAGAGGCAGGCAGAGAGAGAGAGAGGGAAGCAGGCTCCCCGCTGAGCAGAGAGCCCGACGTGGGACTCGATCCCAGGACCCCGAGATCACGACCCGAGCCGAAGGCAGCGGCCCAACCCACTGAGCCACCCAGGCGCCCCGGAGCATGTGACTCTTGATTCAGGGTTGTGAATTTGAGCGTTGGTGGTATAGTGGTGAGCATAGCTGCTTTCCAGGGTTGTGAATTTGAGCCCCACACTGGTTGTAGAGATTACTTAAGTAAATAAAACTTTTAAAAAAATGGTTTTGTATTGACTACTATAGTCTGCTAGTACAGTAAGTTGCCTCTGCCTTGATTCACACTAAGATATAAGTTTTACCCATCAATGTTTTTGTACCAATAGTGCAAATGTCAACAGAGTGAAAATGGCAATTAATGTCTTAGTATTATTATGAAAATTGAATTTTGAGCCTTTAGAATGCTCTCAGGAATAGGGTTGCCAGACTTAGCAAATAATAATACAGGATACCCAGTTAAATTTTAATTTCAGATATACAACAAATACTTTTTTAGTATTTATCACATGGAATATTCAGATACTAAAAATATTATTTTTTAGGGAAGACTGGGTGGTTTAGTTGGTTAAGTTGGTTTCAGTTCAGGTGTTGACCTCAAGAGTTGTGGGATCAAGCCTGGTGTTGGGTTCCCTGCTCAGCAGGGAGTTTGATCCCCTCTTGTTTTCTCTCCCTCTGCCCCTCCCTTGGCTTGTGCTCTCTCTCTCTCTCTCTGGAATAAATAAATCTTACCAAAATTAAAGAAAAGAAAACACTAGTGAAATTATCTTTTTTTTTTTAAACTAGTGAAATTATCTTATTTATTTATATTACTTATTGTCTCCTTCCCTCAAGAACATAAGCTCTGTAAGGGAGGGACCTTGTCTGTCTTGCTTATCACTATCTTAGAGCTAAGAATAGGGCCTGGTACAAAAGAAATTCTGTAAGTATTTTCTTGAATGACTGAGTGAATAAATAACTAAGGACTGATGTGATACCAATGCTCATAGGGAAATGAGCAGGTAGAGCTGAGACAGAGCAGGGATCCCAGAGTTCTGAGAGATTGCAAAGGCTCTCATCTGCTAGATATTTGCTGTTTACTCCATAGGGCAGATGCCCAGGACCACCCAAGAGGGATTAGAAAAGTGTGGTGCTCTAGGTTTCAGCTCAGAAAGGGCTTAGGGACTATGGACCAAAGAAAACAGGGGGAAAAGGTCGTTCTAAACAAATGCTATCCCTGTAGTCCAGCTGAAGTTCTTTACCTTCACACATTATCTCCAGGACAGGTCTCAACATGATTTATGAAAAACAGCTATCTTTAGAAGAAAATATAGGGAAGAAAGGGAGAACAGCATCAGGCAGCCACGGCCTTAATGGCAGGTAAGATGTGAATCTTCTAGTCACTACAGGCAGCTAAGAGATTTTGAAGTTGTACCCATAGGCAAACAAGAAAGCAGAGATTCTTCGGGGGCTTACAGAATTGGAATTGTGGTGGGTACTGATTTCAGTATTTTCTCATGAGAACTATGTATCTTAAATGAACTGTATCTTCTAAAAAAAAAAAAAAAAAAAGAACAGAACTGTATCTTCTAATCCTTATTTCTGAATTACGAAGTTCTGCCAGAATACTGGAATACTTGAAACAATGTCCAAATTTTCTTAACTGTAGCTAAGTTTGTAGTTAGTTTACTTGGCATGATCTTGGTTTTAGAAAATAAGAGTCGTAAAACATATTTTAAAAACATATAATTTCTCAATTACCTGAAATATTAGGTTTCTTTTCCATTGGTGAATAAACAGAAAACATCCACTGCCCTGATGATTCCCAAATTTCCATATCTTTTATAATTCCTTCCCTGGGGAAAAAAAAGAGCAAAGGATCTTTTTCATCTGCTTATTAAAATTTATTGTTTATAATTTTCAATGATTGAAATTTTAAATTATAGTAAATATGTAATTTCAGATTAAAAAAGAAAAGATTTCATTTATTTTTAGAGAGAGCAAGAGAGAGTACACATGCAAAGAGGGCTGCAGAGGAAGAGGGAGAAGCAGATTCCCCGCTGAGGGTGGAGCCTGATGCAGGGCTCAATCTCAGGACTCTGAGATCACCACCTGAGCTGAAATCAAGAGTCAGATGCTTAACTGACTGAGCCACCCAGGTGCCCCTAGATTTTTTCCATTGTATTTTCTGAAGACTATTCTTTAGAGCAGAATTTATGAACTAAGAACTATATTTAATGATTTTAAGTATTATAACTATATTTAATGATTTTAAGTATTATAATTTAAGTATTTTAAGTATTATAATACTTATATTATAAGTATTATATAATTATAATTATATTATAATTATGTAATTATAATATAATTATATCATAATATATAATATATATTATATTATATAGTAATATAATTATTATATAATTATAATATTATAACATTAAATAAGTTCATGGTTTTGGTTTTCCAGTAAATTGAACCATTAAGCAATAGATTTGGTAAATGAGAACTATCAAACTATACCTATTTTAAAGAACTAAAATATACAATGCTAATTTTAATCTTTCTTCGTTCATTATCATAAATATCAATAACATTTAACTGGGAAAAGAAGGAACCACGTATTGCATGGAGCACTGTGTGTGGTGCATAAACAATGAATTTTGGAACACTGAAAAAAAATAAAATTAAATTAAAAAAAAGAAAGAACCACGTAATATAGAACCATAAAATTTTTAAAGTGGGTAGGACTTTAGAGATCATTTTGTCTAATTCTCGTATTTTGCAAAAAGGGACAACAGACCCACACCCATGTAGTTAATTTATTGGCAAAGTGGTGGGTAGATTCAACTCTAAATTAAATGCTTCCCTCTCCCATCCAGAATGTTACAATTAATAAAATGATAGATACCACAGAGATACTGTACTAAATTCAGGATTTTTACAACATCGAATACAGGAAGGCGGGCTTTGTTTGCTCTTTTACCTTTTTAAAAAAAAATCAATTGTATATGATATATGGATCAAAATGTTTACCACTCATTCTAATTTATTATGAGAAGTAAAAGACTAATGAATATATTTAAGTTCTGTCCTGGGAGCTGAGGCAACAGTTACAGAATGCCAGGGACTATTTTGGCACGAGTCACACATTCTACTATGATCAGGAAATAATAGAGAATCTACTCTACAGTAATAAAGGAAATCAAATGAAACCAGTTTCAACGGGGTGGGGGGTAGTGGAAGTAAAAGTTTTAAGAAAAATATACCAGATGCCTTAAGTGACCACCAAGAGTACAAACTGCTTTAAATTACCTCATACTTTGTAAAGAACTAATAATATACAACAAACTCAAGCAAAACTACCTTAGAAAGATATTCACAATATAGTGTTATCAATAGAAAAATGGAAAAAGCATAATTAGCTCTCAGAAGTCATTGTGCTGGTATGGAAAGGTGACATATTTTTAAGGGTAATAAAGTGTACTATGACATATGCAAAATAGTGGTTATCTCTGAGTGATAGGATTGTGGGTGCTTTTTCTTCTTTTTGCTTATTCTGATTTTTTAATGATGTATTACTTTTTTTTTTTTTAAAGATTTTATTTATTTATTTGACAGAGATCACAAGTAGGCAGAGAGGCAGGCAGAGAGAGTGCCCCAATATTACTTCTTTTTTAAAGAAAATATTGTAGGTACTTTTGAAAAAAAAAAATAAGCAAATGGGTAGTAATTTCTCTGAAGGTTTCCACTTACAGAAGTTTCTTTTCATCTTTCTGCCCATCAGGGCTGGGTGAAGCAAATGGGTTCTGGGACACTCCAAACCCTCTGTTCCTGCTAGTTGAAGCTCCAGAATTGAAGGAACTGAAAGATGGCTTTTCTTGATCTCTGCTGCCCCCCCATGGTGTTGATTTGGAGAAGCTGGATGGCTGGATAACGCTGGAGTATCTTTGGCTGGTGGTATTCCATCCACGTCTGTTACTACCTGAAAATAAAGAATAAAACAATTTTATTGGCAATTCCTCTTTTAAACCTCTAAAAACTTCATTATATTATCTTACTATGTGCAGACATTATACGAAGATTCAACAAGCACCACACTGCCACTCATTTTAAATCAGAAAACTCTTCATTTTTGACTTACATATAGTTACTTGTAACCAACAAATCATGTAATGGTCTAATGGCATTTTTTGTTTAACAAGATTGAGAGAAGTGCAAACCCTGAGGAAAATAATGATATATTAGTAAGTTCAGCTGATATAAGCTTATTAAGTAAATAATTGTTTGATAGTAGATTTAGGATGTATCCTAAATCATAAACTCCTTCAGGATAAAAAAGCTGTCTTAATCATTATTTGCTCTCTTACAGTGCCCTATAGAGTAGTAACATCGGAAAATGGACAATGTATTAAAGAGTTTGTTGAATATGAAAAATTAGATTCTACCCTCTATCCTTGAACAGATGCTTAACTCTACTTGACTCAGTCTTCCCTCTGGGGAAATAACATCTACCCACCTATCTTTCACAGGGAGATTATAATTTACATGTGAATAAAATGCATTCAGTTCTATTATCAGCAGATTCTAATATTTCATAATTATCACAATGAGGCAACAGGACTCTCTTCCCTTGTCTCTGTATTTTGAAAAATTGTGGGGCACCTGGGCAGCTCAGGTGGGTTAACCATCTGCCTTTGGCTCAGATCATGATCCCAGAGTCCTGGGATTGAGTCCACATCAGGCTTCCTCTGCCTGCCGCTCCCCCTGCTTGTGCGCTCTCTGTGTCAAATAAATAAATAAAATCTTAAACTACCTCATTTACTCAGCACTTCCTAGTTGGAACCAAGATAATTTGCCTTGTTTCTGACTGAATTAAGAGATATGCCATGAAATGTATTAAAAACTGGAATGATGCGAGATATATTCCTTCATGAAAATTCATCTCCCAACTCTAAAACTACCTAATAAAACCAAAGAGAAAAAGGAACAGATTGCTGGGCCAGATCCCTCATTTAAGGGTTAATGGTATTTTATTTTTCTGAAGTTCCAAATTCGTTGGGGGATGACACAACTGAAGAAGTTCATTCTTTCTTTCGTATATAGCTTTTGGTCTTCATTTATTAATTACAGAAGCATTCATTTCTGGGAGATAAACACTGTTTACTTGTTGAGTTTTTTTTTATATTTTCTTCATCCATCAACCCATTAAATATTTGCTTTCTAATTACTACGTCTATAGTGAGTCTCCACAGAATGTCAAATATTAAGTAACATTTTCCGAGGAAATACGTTCCCAAGTATCAGACCCCCGAGTCCTAATTTTTGGTTTGGAATATTTCACAAGACTAATTGTGGGCGATGCAAAAGTCCTGTCTTCAAGAGAGCGATCAGACGTGAAACCACTATGCAACACAAATTAAAGATCAGATGAACAGTCCTAAAAGAGGGAAGGGAAGGAAAGGAACAGAAGGGAGTCAGCATCTTGTGATACTTTTAAGGACTAAGTTTCAATCCTAAGAAAATAAAAACCTACCTATTCATCTGACCTTTAAAACCTTGCTTTGCGTGGTTTCATTTCTGATCCCTCCTCTCCTTGAACGCCGTCCTTTCACCTCATCCACAATTGGCTTAAATATTCCAAAAACTTTGACAATGACTTAGACCCAGGGAGTAGGACAACTTGGTCCTCCACACCCCTTCTCTCATACCTCAGAGTTCCTCTTCTTCTTCTTCTTCTTTTTTTTAAAGATTTTATTTATTTATTTGACAGAGAGAGAGAGAGAGAGATCACAAGTAGGCAGAGAGGCGGGCAGAGAGAGGAAGGGAAGCAGGCTCCCCGCTGAGCAGAAAGTCCGATGCGGGTTTCGATCCCAAGACCCCGAGATCATGATCTGAGCCGAAGGCTTAACCCACTGAGCCACCCAGGCGCCCCCACCTCAGAGTTCTTTACTGGGCAACCCGCCCTTCCAGTTCTACCTCCAACGTTACGAGCACGGACATTCGCCCAAGGTAGAGCTTTGCAGCTATCAGATTGTTCGAAGGAGTTTGCGACTTCCCCAACGTTAAGCATCCAGGCTGTGACCACAGCTGCTAGCCTCTCTCGAAAAAAAAGTTCAGTAAAAATTATATTTAGGGTGTCAAGGGAGAAAAAAAGAACCAGTACACAGAAGGGTAGGAAAGCAAGGAGGCGTCTGGGTCGACCTCCACCAATTCTCCGGACCATCACCACGCACAAAGAGAGTTTTGACACGTACTTCCGACCTAAAAACTCATTGTTTCGCATTCGTACCAAAGGCCAAGTCCCCGTCTTCATCCCCTCAACTACAACCAGCCGAATCCCCACACAGCAGAGAGGAGCACGGGAGAGAACCTGTGCCGGGCCTGTGGGCGGGGCCGAAAAGGGGACGACGCGAGCACGTCATCGTCACCTGACTGGTGCGCCGCTGCGCTATGCCGAGCGACGGGCCCCACGCCGGACGCCCGTTCTCAGCCCCACGGCCCTGGCTCCAGGCCTTCCCCAGCTCCAACGGCGGCGGAGGATGGAGGGGCACGTCACCTGAGGGCTGCTGCTGCCGTCCTCCGCCCGCACCCCCGGCGCCGGGATGTTCGTTCCAGCACCGGTCTCCAAAGCGGCACCGGCCTTGAAGGAAGAACTGACAAATGGTCATAGCGACGGCGTCGCCCACGGAACGGTCTTCAGTCAGCACCCTCAGCGGACGGAGAGCCCAAAGCAACCGAAGGTCCCTCCCTGCTACCGTGACGTCATCTTCTCGCGTCCCCACCTCCCCCCTTCTCTCGTCCTGCCCTGGGATGAGAGGCGTAGGTTCTACCCAATAGGATTTGAGAAGAGCGGGCGGCTCCGGCTCACTGAGTTGGGCTTGGGAGGGCGGAAAGCTTGCATGGTTAACGTGGGGGAAGAGGCACGTTTGCGCGTGGTGCAGAGCCTCGGACTGCAAGGAAAGCTTGAGGGTCCGAAATAAGGGGAGAGCAGGTTAAGGAAATTTAGATTTTCAGCACAGCCACGGAGGATTTTAGAGACCGAGTTGTAATTTGCATTTGTACAGTTGAGAAAGTGAAAATCCGCGCAGCCATTCATCAGGTGGATAACAGATAAAGCCACTTATAAGGTAAACAGGAAACAGTGTTTCCTTCAAGGACAGACTGCAACTGAAAAGTATCATAACCCCATCTTTGGATAAACACTACATTCTTACACTCTGAGAAAGCTAGTTCTTTAAAGTCCGCGTACACGCCGCTGTTTGAAATTGTATCAGTAAGAATGAAACATCCCACTCTTGCCTGGAGGAACTAAGACACTTGGACACAGAGAAGCAGCATCGATTTCTATACAGGTGCCCACCTTCCGATAAGGCGTTCCTGAAAAAAGCATTTCTATTTTTCTTAATTTTGTAGTTTCCGGGAGGCCTGGGTGGCTCAGTGGGTTGCCGGCTGCCTTCTGCTCAGGTCGTGATCCCAGTCTGCTGACATGAGTCCCGGGTTGAGCTCCTTGCTCGGTAGGGAGCCTGTTTCTCCCTCTGCTTGCTCTGCCTGCTGCTTGCTCCCGCTGCTTGTGCGCGCTCGCTCTCTCTGACAAATAAATAAAATCTTAAAAAGAAAAAAAAATTGTAGTTTCCAAGGAAACATGACCCCACATCCACTTCTCAGTCCAGATCCGATGTTGATGCCTTTACACAGAGCTCTGCTTTGCTTTGAGCTTATAAAATCTTACCTAAAATCCACCTAGCCCGCAGATCTTACAGTTGTCTTTTCCTTCGTAGGGTGAGACACCCCTACCATTCCTCTGGTTAGCGGTCTCCTTGGTTGCCAGGAGGCAATAAATATGACTTTGTTGGATTATAGATTTATCCCTGGTGTTTTAAGATGATTGGCCATTGTTCTTGTTCGCATCTTTGGATTTTGAATACAGTGGAAGCTACAAAAGCACTGGGAATAACTGCTACAATGTAGTTTAAAGTTTTTATTTTAAGTAATCTCTATGCCCAAGTTTATTTAAACCTAGTTTATTTATAAAAAAAAAAAAAAATTCAAGTGGGGCCCCTGGCTGGCTCAGGCAGTAGACCATGCAACTCGTGATCTCAGGGTTGTGAGTTCAAGCCCCACATTGGGTGTAGAGCTTTCTTAAAAAAAAAAAAAAAAATCAATTCACTTACTTTGAAATGTAAAGATTTACAAATACAGTATAAGAGACTGTATTGCAGACCTGATACCCCATCACCCAACTACTTTATTTCCTATAAAGACATTCTCCCACATAACCACAGTACAATCACAAAATCAGGATGTTCGTATTGATGAATAACTACTATCTAATCCTTAGATTCTGTTCATGTTTTGCCAAATGTCCCAAAGTCTTTAAAAGAAAAAGATCCGGTTAGAATTATTGTCTTATTCATATTTCTTTTTTTTTCCCCTTTATTTAGCCTTACTTGTATTTCTTTAGTCTTCTTCATCTTGGAACATTTCCTCAGTCTTTCCTTGACTTTCAAGACCTTAAAACTATTAGAGATTACAGCTAGTTACTTTGTAGAAGTTCCTCAATGCAGATTTATCTGCTGTTTTCTTGTGATTGGATTCAGATTAAGCATCTTTGGCAGGATTATCGCAGACATGATGTCATGGTCTTTACATTGCACCTCTCAGGTTGTGCACAATTTCAGTTTGTCCCATTACCTGAGGTGTTTACTTTGATCACTCAGTTAAGATGGTGTCTGCTGAGCTACTACAATGACTCTTTTTGTCTTTGTTATAAATAAGGATTTTGTAAGGAGATACTTTGAAAGTATAAATGTGCCATTCCTCCCCAAGCTTTTTGGTTCTTTCATTTATTTATTCCTATCACTATGGCCTCCAATTTTCCAATTTTATTCAGTGGGTTATAATCTATTACTGTCATTATTTTGAGGTTCAAATCATCCTCAGTTTGGCCAGTGAGAGACCTCTAATCTTTGTTTTTTGACACACCCCATTAATTCTTTGAACACTTCTTTACTCCTTGGCCCAAAAGATGCTCCAGGCTCAATTTTATACTTTCCCTGATCTAGTCCTAGAATCAGCCATTTCTCCCAGCAGTCCTGGGTCTTTCAATGGTACTTAGAGGCCAAGATCTGAGCTTCAAATTTTCTCATTGCTGTTGTGAGGTCTTTTCTCCCAAGCCCTTTTGTGGGCGTTGCTAGGAAATATATACTATAGACAGACATACGTTTACATCAATGCATATTTCTGTATATGTATTAGAAACTATGAGTTTATACTGATAACCTCCAGTTTGATCCCAAGATCACAGAATTTATTTTCTTCCTGTATTTCTAACTTCCTCCTTTGATAGTGAGAAACTTGGTTCTCACTATCCATACTTATTTTGAGCAATTCCCTTGTATTAGCCAGTTTCACCTTGTGGCCATTGACTTTCTTGTCTATGCAAAGACCAACAAGGACTCTGCTGGGATCAAAGACCTAAAATAATGCCAGTGGTGGCTGAAGCTTAAATGAGAATGGACATGGCGCTGTGTGAAGGTGGAAAGGTAGGCAAGGCCAGATCTCAGTTGAGATCATCTAGGTGAGTGCTCGTGAGACAGTGGGAGACAATGGGAGCCTAGGGCTAAGGAATGCAGAATTCAGTAGTGATCAATTAGGGCCGGGTTGGTGGAAATCAAGAGTGGGGTCACAGAAAGGAAACTTCTAATCTCGAGATGGCAAAGTAAAAATAGTTCTGCCTCCCTTTCCTCTTGAAAAATCATCTCAAAGGGGAAACAAGCAAAAACCACAATCTTTGATTAGACCAGCAAATAACCATAATCTCAAACCACAATTTGTGAAGATTGAATGCGCTTGGTGGAATAGTAAATTACTTAGCAGAGAGGAAGAAGGTCATATTCTGGAAAGGTGCACACATGTCCCTAGAGAGGCTGAAAATCCGCAGAAATTAAGAGCCAACAGGTACCATAGAAGGGTAGACTGAAAATCTCTATGTAGTGCAATTAGAATCCAGCTCCATAAATCCACCCAGTGGGGCAGCTATCCCTACATGATGGGAAATAGGTTTTCTCCTTGAAAAAAAATGGGGTGGGGTGGGGACGAGAGAGGCTTTGAGTCCAGGACATCAAGTACAGAGGAGAAGTTACAGTACTGACAATGCAAGCTATGTTTATTGAATGGTGAAGTATAGTCCTCTTTGCCTGAGCTCCAGAAATCCTGTAGCCAGCCTTACAGTCCCTTTTTCCCCAACTTGCACTCGGCACCTAAGGTAGGGGTTTGGAAGATTATTTTTTTGAGAATCAAACATCCCATAAAAATATCTATAGATCTGGTGGATTCCCAACAAAAATAGGTGACCATTCCCTCATCATATGATGAGGTTCACTGATAATTAGGCCCACCTTTGCACATAAAAATTATCAACTCATTCAATGTCTCATTTTAAATAAAATTTGCAGACAGGGACTAGAAAAGAGCAAAGCAAACAGAAAAAAATAAGCAGACACACACCAAGTGTGTAGAAAATGTTAAAAAAACTAAAGTATCTTCAGAGAGGATACCATGAAACAGTAACAATGCTATATGAAATAATCATTTTAAAAAAAGTATTCTTAGATATTAAACATGGGTAGCGGAAACAAATTCAACAGATGGTTGGAAGATATAATCAGAGAAGTTCCCTATAAGAATTGAACAAACCAGATCCAGAACCCGTATTATAGCTGTTATGAGAGGAGGCTTAAAGCTCTGGAAAAGTAAAACCTTTCAATTTCCCAGCACAAACTTTTAAATTTTTATTTCTCCCAAAGTAGTTTGAATAGCCTTGGGAAGGAGGAAGTTAAGAAGATGAAAGTTGTTCAAACTTTTGGAAGTCTTTTGAGGCAACTATTAGGAGGAATATTTAAAGGATTTAGCACATGTTGAAGGATGCAACCTGAAAATGTCTCTTCATATTATCAGATTTTTGGGTCTTGGTTTGGTGCCATGTTGGAGTGGATTGAATTTTCTGACATTGTTGGTATATGTTAATGGTGTCATTAAAAAGTGAAATTTCGGGGGCACCTGGGTGGCTCAGTTAAGTATCCAACTCTTGATTTTGGCTCAGGCCATCATCTCAGGGTTCTGGGATCGAGCTCCAGTTGGGCTCTTAGCTAGGCATGGAGCCTGCTTAAGATTTTCTCCCTCTCCCTTTGCCCCCTCCCACTTCTCTCCCTCTCCCTAAAAAAAAAAAAAAAAAAAAAAAAAAAAGTCAACCTTTCCTTCAAATACTCTTTTATCCTGACAGGCAGCAAATCTCAATTTTTTGCTGTTAATAGAATATAAGGCAAAAGGAATATAGATTCATTAGTTAATAATTGTTTATTAACTGGCTCATTTTTGTGACTCAGAATTTCCTGTAAGATTGTAGATCAGGTTTTTGAAAGCTAGGTCACAATTGTAATTAAGTCCTGTTTTGTATAGCAACTTTTTTTAAAAGAAAGATTTTATTTAGTAAAGGGAGAGAGAGAGAGAGAGAGAAAGAGAACACAGCAGGGGGAGTGGCAGGCATAGGGAGAAGGAGGAGCAGACTTTCCACTGAGCAGAGAGCCCGATGTGGGGTTCGATGCCAGGACCCCGGGATCATGACCTGAGCCAAAGGCAGACACTTAACTGACTGAGCCACCCAGGCACCCCACAACACTTTTTTCAAGACATTAAACTTTCATGTTCAAGTTGTGATTTTTGAAAATATAAACTGCTGTCATCAAAACAGGGTCACTGCAAATGATGGAAAATTAACATATCACGTTTACTAAAAAGAAAGGAGAGCCATTTATAGAAAGGACAGGACTTTTATGGGTGGAAAAGAAATAGAAAAATGCTGCGGTGTCCGACTTTTGGGTTTTGGCTTGGGTCGGGATCTCGGGAGTCTGGGCTCCACACTTGGCAGGGAGTCTGCTTGAGGAGTTTCTCCTTCTGCCCCTCAAGTAAATAAATACATCTTAAAAAAAACAAAACACCAAAAAACCCCACAAAAAAACAGACCAACTTGCCAATATACTGTGCCATTATCCTGGCATTTACAATTTTGTAGAATATTTCCCAAGGCAGAAAATACTAATTAGTAATTACTGAGATTACTAACATCACCTCCCCTAAAAAACCCCACAAAACCCCCAAACCCAGGTTTAATCTACATCAAACCTGTCTACATACTTATAGTATGTTCCAGTCAGTTGATACAGCCAAAGAAAAGGCTAGTCCATTTACAATATTTCAAACAGTGCTCACATTCCATATGGGAGAGTATCATATTAAGTAATATAAGTAAATTGTAATATGATAAATGGATGTTCTTCTCTCCAAAAAACCTGGACTTTTCTCCCCCGGTGGAGTACAAAATTCAAAACCCAACATAAAAATGTTCAAGACAGGCAAATCTACAGACAGAAAAATTTAATGGTTGTATAGGTCTAGGATATCTGGAGGATGTAATTGGGTTGGATAATTCCCCCCCCCCCAAAATTCATGTCCACTTGGAACTTCAGAATGTGACCTTATCTGGAAATAGATTGTAGATGTCATTAGTTAAGATATGGTCATGCTAGATTGGGAGGAGAGTTAGCTAAATCCAGTGACTGCTGTTCTTATCACAACGTATCAAGACACAAAGGAAACACAGGAAAGAAGGACATGTGAAGCCAGAGGCAGTGAGTGAAGTGGCACAGTTGTAAGTCAATGAATGTCAAGGACCGCCAGCAACCACCAGAAGCTAGGGGGCAGGTTGGCAGTTTTTGCCTCAGAACTCCAGAAGGAGGCAACCCTGCTGACACCCTGATTTAGGACTTCTGGCTTCCTGAGTTGTGAAAGAATAAGTTTCTGTTGTTTTAAGTCACCAACTTTGTGGCGATTCATTACAGGGACCACAAGAAATTAATACAGGGGAAAACGGGGAGTGACTGCTAAGAGTATGGACTTTACTTCTGTGGTGATGGGAATGTTCCAAAATTGTGATGATGATTGCACAACTCTGTGAATGTATTAAAGACCACTGAATGATACACACTTTAAATGGGTGAATTGTATAATGTGATTTACATTTCAATAAAGCTGTAACATGCATAAAAAACTCTAAATAAAAATATATCATTATGCTTTTTAAAAAGATTTATTTATTTTCTAGAGAGTGCATATGTGCAAGCACAGGGGAAAGGGGCAAAGGGAAAGGGAGAGAGTCTTAGGCAGCAGAGGAGCTCCACACAGGGCTGATCTTACAACCCTGAGATCACGACCTTAGCTGAAACCAACAGTCAGATGCTTAACCTGACTGTGCAATGCAGGCGCCCCTATCATTATACTTTATATTTATAATCTTTGTCATTTAAACATTTTTAGGATTTAAGATTATAACCCCATACAAATAAAGCAATGAAAATTAAAATAGAAATACAGCTTCACAAATTTTAAAAACAACCACTGCCTAACACATTTGAAATGAAGGATGAATAAAACTTAGCAGTCTATTTTAAGTTAAAAAATATTTAATATTATTGGATAAAAACACTGATGGTGACAGCTTTACATGGCTCATTCCATACATTCTGTAATGTAAAAGGGCAAAACATTACTAGGAAAGAAATGAGTAGTTGGGTTTGTGAAAGATTTATTGACCAGATAAAAGCAATTAATACGAGATGACAAACATTTAACTCAAATTATTACAAAACTTTTAGGAGATAACTGGGTCAAATCTGATGTGTCCTACTAAGGAAAAGAAATCATGTATCTTTTTAATCCATAAGAAGTTCAAAGTCAACATTGATACTGTATAACTATCAGTGCTATTCTAGTAACCTAGAAGTTAGCTATAAATAGCTTTATCTTTTGCTAATCATTCTTACTATGATTTTATTTTATTTAACAGTGAGGACTGAAAAGGCATAATCATTTTTTAAACCACCGGGCAAAATAGTACTATAAATTAATGAGGGTGCTAAGCTTGACATTTTGTGTTTGAAAGATGGAATATATTTAATTGGACTGAATATATTTCATGAGGACTAGGGTATGTTTAAGCCCAAAATGTGTTTATGAAGTTCTGTAAGAGAACAGGTGTATACCTTGACTCACTCTTGCTTGCTTTTAAAATGAAATAAATTTGGCACTATATGGAACAAATGAAGACAAGCAAAATTAGGTGAGACTAAGATGCTTCATCAGAGTTGCCTGATTTGACTTACAATTCATACTATTTCTTAGTTCTTGACTGAACAGAAACAAACAGACCTAACTACATAGCACTTCTATGATGTATGAAAATAGAATCTAGAGCTAAGATGAGACTGCTTCACTGATGAGCCAATCCCCCACTCTGCCATAATCATAGTTTCAAATGTAAAATTCATTCAAGAATTCGTATTTTCATCAAATGCTTATGATTTTTCAAGTTTTCTTGCTAGATATGTCTTGGTTAAGTGGCCAGCTAAAATATGGTCTTTGAATTAAGGAAATTCATATAAAAGAAACATCTATTTCATAGCGATCTTACTTTACTTGAAATTTCCTTTAAAAAAACAAAACACCAAACTAAAACTTTGTAACCAAACTCTTGGAACAAAGCACTGGTGGCCATATTTTTGAGTCTCCGATAAATCTTGAAGTCCATTCACTTTTCATGTTTCAAGTGTTTCTTCATTTGCTCCACAAGTATCAACAACACATATTAAACAACTTGTTACTGGAAAAGCTCGGACTTTGGAGTTGGCGACCCATTTGTCTGTCTCGGTATTATATTCAAGGATGTGTCCTAATCGACCCACACCTTGAAAACCAGCCAAGACATAAACTATAGAGCCAACTGCTGCACACTTCACTGTTACACCCTTCCATGGCATTGGTGAGACCATCTTCCATTCGTTTAACTTAATATCATAATATTCCACGTTGTCCAGACCACCTTCAAAAGAATAAAATAACATGAACAACTATATTAACAGTTCTATGATCTCTTAAGGTATTAATTCTTTGGATCTTCCCAACATTTTATTATGAACATTTTCAAATATGCAACAGTTATGAATCTTAAAATGAATACCCATATAGCTATCATCTATTCTTATTTTTACTTTAACACAATAAAAATTTAACTTAATTTTTACTTGAATTCTAAATATGTATGTTTATTTTACAAAATTATAAATGTTCTATCTGTTCTGGGAAGGTAAACAAACCGGTGGATTTTCCTTCTGATTAACTTTGACTATAATTATTCAAAAGTTTTTAATCCTTCTGCCATTTATCTTTTAGCAGTTTATGGAAAACAGCAATGGCCAGAGACAAGAGAAGGGAAGAAAGTATTTCTTTATTATACTTATGTAATGCTTAAAGGTACTAAAATGAGGTTTGTGGACTATATACTCCGTCCAGATTCTCCATTATTTAAAGAAATAATTTCAGATTTTTTACTACAAATTAAGAAAATAAAAATCAAATTTACTAATTTAAAAATAGTAATATTGATATTTTCATGCAATGTTTAAAAGTGGTAAGGAAACTTTGTCATTTAAGGCCTGTATACAACTCATAAAAGTTGTATTTAAAAGTTTGTAAAAACTCAAATGTTTCTGTCACTTAATAGTTCTTTAGCTAGTATGACATTATTACCCAGGGGGTGTTTGGAAATGTGTGAAGCTGAGACTGTCATAATGACTGATGGCCATCAGAGGGATGTTAAATATACTGTAATGTTTCATAAAATATATTAGTTCTCAGAAACTATAAACATAATAATGTATGTGATAAATGCCTGTATTTAGATTTTAGGAAATGTTTCAAAGACTTAAGAGAAGGAGGTATCAGCAAACTCATTGGGAAAGTTGAACAGTGATTTAATGTCACATACCCAAGCCATTCTGACCACCTACAGCAAATATCTTGTCTTTTACAAATACCAGTCCATGATTCTTCCTGGCCTCAATCATTGGACACAGCTCAGTCCATCTGAAAAAATGAGAGGAAGCTTTTAGAGTATTTGTTCGCGGGAAGTACGCAAACTACTTTATAAGAAAGGTCTGTTATCCCAATTTAGTGCTCATTTAGTACTCACATGTGTTCACACCCACACACAAACACATATCTGAAAGGCTAGAAGACAAAAGTTTAATATGGTTTTGGGTAATTTATTTATAGGTGAGGTAAACGGGGATTTTATTCCTTTCGACTCCAACAGAATATGAGAAATAGAGAATATTTGGAGACTAACACATCTTTGGAAGAAATCCATTTCCTAGTTCACAGTAACTTGTTAAAATGGTTAACAAAAAAGAAAGGGAGGATACTTAAGAGAATATAAAATGCTAATACTGTCATGTATTTTTTTTTTTTTTAAGATTTTATTTATTTGAGAGAGAGAGAGTATGAGGGGGAGGGTCAGAGGGAGAAGCAGACACCCTGCTGAGCAGGTAGGCGATGCAGACCTCGATCCTAGGACTCTAGGACCATGACCTGAGCCAAAGGCAGTTGCTTGAACAACTGAGTCATCCAGGCACCCATTACATGTGGTTTTAATTAGTATTTATGTATGAATCAAACACAAATTTAACATTGGGCTCTAGCAAATTAGTAGTATCTGTTACTATTCATAAGTAACAAAAGTACTGTCATTCTGTCAAATTTAATAATTTATTAGCATGTTGTTATGTTCATGGCCACTACTATAAATAATGAGATTGAGGGGTGCCTGGGTGGCTCAGTCGGTAAAACGTCTGCCTTCAGCTCACGTCATGATCTCAGGGTCCTGGGATCGAGTCCCTTGTCGGGCTTTCTGCTCAGCAGGGAGCCTGCTTCCCCCCTCTCTCTGCCTGCCTCTTTGCCTATTTGTGATCTCTGTCTGTCAAATAAATAAATAAAATCTTAAAAAAAAAAAACAAAACCCACAGGGTATATTAAGGTCAAGCCATTTCTTAAAGTACAGAGGAAGGGTCCAGAACATAAACATGTCCTGAACGTAGCTCCTTCAAAAGTGTGTACACATTTTTAATACAAGAGCTAAATTCTTCTGTTGGGGTCCTTCTGCTTTTTGCCATCTTTTTCCTCTGAGCTTATAGAATACAATTAACTGTGAAATAAGGCCTTTTTTTTTGGGTTTATACACAGTATAGTTTTAATAAGTTATGCATAAGGTTATTCCCACACATTCCTACACATAAGTTTACAAACACTTAACATCTAAAGAAAGAAAGAAGTTACTTGAAAGACAAATTATACACAGCATACTTTCACTGAGTTAAGAACAGGTCTAGTCCTACATGATTTTAAAATAAAAATTTTATTTAATTTTTTTTAAAGATTTTATTTATTTATTTGACAGAGATCACTAGTAAGCAGAGAGGCAGGTAGAGATAGAGGAGGAAGCGGGCTCCCCACTGAGCAGAGAGCCCAATGCGGGGCTCGATCCCAGGACCCTGGGATCATGACCTGAGCCGAAGGCAGAGGCTTTAACCCACTGAGCCACCCAGGTGCCCCTAAAATAAGAATTTTAATTGATACATACGTTTCTGTGGCAGGATCATAAACCTCACAGGAATTCAGCACTCGCCCAGAAACATTGTTCCCTAAACTTCCGCCACAAACATAGATCAGGCCATTGGCTTCCACCATGCCGTGGCTGCAGCGCTGAGTCAGCATGCTGGGCTTAGTGTGCCAGCTTTCAGTTCTTGTGTCATAGCACTCAAATAAATATAGAGCTGAGTTTCCTGTAAAAGAAAAAGGCTCCATCAGGCTTCTCTTAGTGTGTATGTGGGTTGGGAGGGAGCTGACAGTAGAGCTGGTCATTACTTACTGGAGGTAAGAATTTATAAAGTTGTAGTCTTTTCTGAACTTAATTAACAATAACAGCAAAATGGTGGAATAGCTTAAGAAAAAGCTAACCCTGTTTGTACAGATCTCAGAAAAATATTTTTTAAAAGGATGTGCTGGAGAGATTTATTGGTAACTAACTTTAGGAAAAGAAATTGGTTTGATTTCAGAAGAAAAATTAAGTAACATTATGTATGTCTTCACACCCAGTTAGGCATGATGGTAATTATTTAAACTTTAAATCCTTATAGAGGAGAAAAGCATAGCTGTTTATAGATGGTAAATCCATACCTTAAACTCTGAAGACTACTATCTGATAATATGCTCAGGTTTATCATTTAACATTCTATAATAGTCACTGCACCATTAACAAAACTATTCTTCCTGACTACTCTCAGTGGCTGTGTGAGTAAGCCCTGAAGTCATGCTGACCCAGTCGGGACTGTACTCTCAAGGTATCACTGTATGTCTCTGGTGTGTTTGATTACACATTTTAACAGCAAAACATATACATCCTGTCTTATAACTTCTGTACATTATAGGGGCTCAATAAAAAGTTTTAGAAATGATACTAATAAAGCAACAAGTGCTTTTTTCCTTCCCAAGAAAAAAGTTAAAAAAAAAAATTTTTTTTAGCTTTTGCACAGCAAAGGAAATACTTAACAAAACCAAAAGAAAACTGACAGAATGGGAGAAGATATTTGCAAACGACATATCAGATAAAGAGCTAGTATCCAAAATCTATAAAGAGCTTAGCAACTCAACACCCAAAGAACAAATAATCCAATCAAGAAATGGGCAGAGGACATGAACAGACATTTCTGCAAAGAAGACATCCAGATGGCCAACAGACACATGAAAAAGTGCTCCATATCACTCGGCATCAGGGAAATACAAATCAAAACCACAATGAGATATCACCTCACACCAGTCAGAATGGCTAAAATTAACAAGTCAGGAAATGACAGATGCTGGCGAGGTTGCGGAGAAAGGGGAACCCTCTTACACTGTTGGTGGGAATGCAAGCTGGTGCAACCACTCTGGAAAATAGCATGGAGGTTCCTCAAAAAGTTGAAAATAGAGCTACCCTATGACCCAGCAATTGCACTACTGGGTATTTACCCTAAAGATACAAACATAGTGATCTGAAGGGGCACATGCACCTGAATGTTTATAGCAGCAATGTCCACAATAGCCAAACTATGGAAAGAACCTAGATGTCCATCAACAGATGAATGGATAAAGAAGATCTGGTATATATATATACAATGGAATACTATGCAGCCATCAAAAGAAATGAAATCTTGTGATTTGCGATGATGCGGATGGAACTAGAGGGTATTATGCTTAGCAAAATAAGTCAATCTGAGAAAGACAACTATCATATGATCTCCCTGATAAGAGGAAGTGGAGATACAACGTTGGGGGTCTGGGGGGGTAGGAAGAGAATAAATGAAACAAGATGGGATCAGGAGGGAGACAAATTGTAAGAGACTCTTAATCTCATAAAACAAACTGAGGGTTGCTGGGGGGAGGAGGGTAGGGAGAGGGTGGTGGGGTTATAGACATTGGGGAGGGTATATGTTATGGTGAGTGTTGTGAAGTGTGTAAACCTGGTGATTCACAGACCTGTACCCCTGGGGTTAATATTACATTATATGTTTATAAAAAAATATAAAAAATTATTAAGAAAAAAGGAAAATTTTATATAGTATGACACTGAATATATATATGTATATACGTATGATTTTAAAAGCATTAGGATTCTTTATATGTGGATACACACACACACCCATTAAGACCACTAGACTAGACACTGCTGTTTCATTTTTAAAATATTTCAACTTTTTCTTAAATCTTCTGGCTTTTTCATATTTGAAATTATAATCAGAAAAAAATTTCATTGTTTTGCTGCGATGAGCACTGGGTGTTGCATGAAGTGTTGAATGACTAAATTGTATACCTGAAACTAATATTACACTGTATGTTAACTAGGATTTAAATAAAAACTTTTTAAAAAATTAAAAAAAAATTTTTTAAAGATTTTATTTATTTGACAGAGAGATCACAAGTAGGCAGAGAGGCAGGCAGAGAAAGAGGGGGAAGCAGGCTCCCTGCTGAGCAGGGAACCCAATGTGGGGCTTGATCCCAGCACCTGAGATCGTGACCTGAGCCGAAGGCAGAGGCTTAACTCACTGAGCCACCCAGGTGCCCCATGAAGTTAAAATTTAACCTAATTGTAACTCATCTCCCACTCCTGGACTTCTTGATAATACTTAAAAACAATACCACCCTTAAGGTTCTCCATCACAGTCAAGGTCTACAGAAAACAAAGTTCAGGGAGTAACAAATGGAAGAAGTAATGGTCTTGATTAACAATAACTTTTTTTTTTTTAACTCTCAGAACATTTTCAATTTGGTAGATTCAGTTGGTGCTAAGAGGAAATACAAACTGTATGGCAGACATGAGAAACTACTATTTAAGTAAAAAACTGACTCAGTAATTGCTGAAGATATTAAGTTATCTACTTTAATTTCCACAAAAAGTGTTTCTACAGTACAGTTACTTTCTATTATCTTTAAGATTTATTGTATTTGAAATATGCTATATTAGACATTCTCTAAAAAATGTTTTTAAAGGGGGGAAAAGGTAATTTCTTAAGTCACATTTTAAAATATCTTTAATTTTTCTAATATTCTTTTGATATCTTGTGGGGGAGTAAAAACTTAAAACATAAATATGCTGACCAAAAGTAAAACTTTCTTTGGCCTAATACAAAAATCATCAAAGAAAATAAAGACTTAATTGACATTTGAATTCCACACCTCAGGTTTACTTGGGTCTTCCTAGTTTTCTTTATAAGCCCATTATTTAACTAAAGAAATTATTTGAAAAGGTGAGAGCTATTATGCATCTAGTCTGCACCTAGAATATCCATTTAGAAAAATTATTCATTTAGAAAAAGACCACCACTGGACACTAACAAACTACCCATCAACGACAAAGATTTTTTATACCCAAATCCATACCCTGTTCTGATCAATAAGCATTAAAACAGCACTCCCAGCCTTTATATTAAATAGTTAAAGAAATAAATGCAAATGAGAAATATGATTCTTACTTTTCTCTGATACAAATAAAGAACAGGTAATAAGGTATAACAGATTTAAAAAATGTGAATGTAATAGATTTTAAAGGGTCTGTCAGTGAGCCAAACTCTGAAATCTTTAAAGCAAATAATATTATGTATCTAAAATTAATCTAGGGGCACCAAGGTGGCTCAGTCAGTCAAATGTCTGGCCTTGGCTCAGGTCATGATCCCAGGGTCCTTGGGACTGAGCCCCATGTTTGGCTCTTTGCTGGGGTGGGGGGGAGTCTGCTTCTCCTTCTCTCTCTGCCCCTCCCCTCCCCTGCTCATTTAGTCTCACTCACAAATAAATAAAAAGAAAATATTTTTAAAAAATGAAATTAATCTAGATAGAACTAAAATCCAGATGGTATGAGAAAAAATGGGATAATTAACATAATCTAGGAACCTGAAGTTCTTGTAAAATGATTCATAAAAAAGGTAAACCTTCAGGGAAATGGGATAAAAAATGTGACAGATATGTATTTAAATTATGTTAAAAAGGGGCGCCTGGGTGGCTCAGTGGGTTAAAGCCTCTGCCTTCGGCTCAAGTCACGATCTCAGGTCCTGGGATAGAGCCCTGCATCGGGCTCTCTGCTCAGTGGGGAGTCTGCTTCCCCCATCTCTCTCTGCCTATCTGTCTACTTGTGATCTCTGTCAAATAAATAAAATCTTCAAAAAAAAAAGTCAAAAAGACAACACCAATTGTTTATGTAAATATGAAAGCCAAGGAACACTTGGTAAAACACCTTCCCCAGACAAAAATACTGAGTTAAGTCCTTACCAACTTCGGAACCTCCAGATGTGTAAATTTTGCCTTCTGCTGCACAGGCGGCAAGGCTGTCTCGAGGTGTCGGAGGGCCCAGTTTGGAATACCAGCTATCCTTCACAACATTATAGCAATCCATTCGTTTTATGGGGAAAAGCTGAGAGCCACCCAAAATGTATACTACATTGTCCCAAAATACACATGCTGCATCTCTTCGTTTTTCAAAGGGGCAGCGGATGTCTGTCCAGCTATAATCCTGTAACCGGAAAGGACAGGAAGTGGTCAGTAATGCAAATATATAATTGACACAAATGAGGCAAAGATATAGTTGAGAAAATACAAAATATAGGAGTATGTTAGTTTGCTAGAGTACATATAGTTTGGCTTGAGACACGATCTAATTTAATCTTGTGTGATTTCTTCAGAATGTTGGTGACTGCTTTGGGTGTTTTCTGGCTCCAGATTAAACTCTAATACATTTGGATGTATCACTACCACCAGTCTTCTATTCCTTCTGTTATTAAGGATGATAACACAAGAAAATTCTAAAATAAGTAGCTTTGTAATTTAGAAAAAAAAAACTTCTTTCAAATGTAAATAGGGGCGCCAGGGTAGCTCCCCTAAATGTCTGATCCTTTTTTTTTTTTAAAGATTTTATTTATTTATTTGACAGACAGAGATTACAAGCAGGCAGAGAGAGAGAGGAGGAAGCAGGCTCCCTGCTGAGCAGAGAGCCCAACTCGGGGCTCGATCCCAGGACCCCAGAATCACAACCTGAGCCCAAGGCAGAGGCTTTAACCCACTGAACCACCTGGGTGCACCCGTATATCTGATTCTTGATTTCAGCTCAGGTCATGACCTTGGTTGGGGTTGTGGGATAGAGCTGCATGTGGGGCTTTGTGCTCAGTGGGGAGTCTGCTTGAGATTCTCTTTCTGCTCCTCCCCCTGCACACACATGTTTTCTCAAATAAATAAGTAAATCTTTACAAATAAGAACAAGGGTGCCTGGGTGGCTCAGTTGGTTGAGTGTCTACCTTCAGCTTAGGTCATGATCTCAGGGTCCTGGAATTGAGCCCCACATTTGTTTCCTGCTCAGCGGGGAGCCTGCTTCTCCCCATCTCCGCCCCTTCCTCCTGCTTGTGCTCTCTCTCTCTCTCTCACTCTCAAATAAATTGAAAAAAAAAAAAAAAAAACAAAAAACAAACAAACAAAAAAAAAAAACCACCAAGAACAACAATAAAAACCCAAATGTAAACATACCCATTCCTTTCCTGCCAGATATACAGAATGATATAAAGAATCACTGGCAGTGTGCCTGGGTGGTTCAGTGGGTTAGGCGCAGACTCTTGATTTCAGCTCAGGTCAGGATCTTGGCTTGTGGGATCGGGCCCTGAGTCGAGCTCCACGGGTGAGGAGATTGCTTGAGATTCTTTCTCTCCCTCTGCCCCTCCCCCAGCTCACACATATGTGCACTCTCTAAATCAATAAATAAAATATTTAAAAAAATCACTGGATAATATGAAGCTTAAACTGCTGTTATCCTGCTGATGTCTAAAGCTAGAAGATATTTTGTAGACTTCTATGATATTAAATTTTTAAAAAATATTCAGTTGAGCCAGTTTATTCAGCTGGACTCTTAAAGCTGTGATATTTACTATGAAATATTTGAGTAATCTGTTTTAACCAGTCTGGAAACCCACTTTTTTCTTCCTGATGATTAGAAATGAGCATGTATCAGTACTTCCCAACAAGGGCAGTTCATGGGATCATTTCATTTCCTCACTATGTTTGGTACATCCAAGGACCTTCTTCTATGTAAATGTATGGGGGGATTTCTCCCAAAGCTATAGTATCTTGGATCCTCCCCTTTTTTTGAACAAGGAAGCTACAGGGTTCCTGCTGCTTTCTGAAAATATCTGAAAACAATTAGAGAACTTCAAAGAGAAATCCAAACAATTCCTGATCTTATTGAGCAAAGCAGTGTGTGTGTGTGTGATTATTAACGCTGAGTTCCCTCTGGGAAAATCTGATGGATAGCTATCACACTAGTGTCCAGTATTTCAGGCATTCATCAGATGAGATTAAGCATCACAGAACATGAGGAATGGTCTCAGGAAAAAGAAGAACCCCTCATGTGGAACACATCAAGGTGCCAGCTCCTAGCGATGATAAACATTCTGCTTTCTGGGTGGCCAGAAAAATGAGAGTCTTAATCCTCGTTTTATTCTCAACTTAGGATCTATATGTCCCCCTGGGTTGCTCAGTGGTATACCTACTGGCAGGCACACAAAACTACAGGATAAATACAACACTTCCCCCAAAGTTTGTTTTCCTCAATGGGTACCAAAAACTCGGGAAAATTATTATTTTAATATTTTATTTATTTGAAAAAAAGAGGGAGGGTAAGAGGAAGAGAGAGCACAAGTGAGCATGAGCTGTGGGGAGAAGGAGACTCACTGCTGAGCAGGGAGCCTCATGCTGGGGTCCATCCCAGGACCCTGAGATCATGACCTGAGCCAAAGGCAGACGCTTAACCGACTGAGCCACCCAGGCACCCCCTGGGGAGAATTATTTTTAAAATTTGTTTTCTCAGAGTTGCATGCCATAGAATGAAAAAAAATGAGAGAAAATAATTACTATACTCTACAGGGCATGATCCCTCAAAAGCAAACTAATAAATCTCTTACATATTCTGAAATATATTCATATTCCTACCTGTCAAAGTTCATTAGCAGAAAAATAGTTTCATTAATAAGATACATTGTTAACTCAGTAAATTTCAAGTCTTGCCACTCTTATACCCAATTTATCTGATATTATTAGAAAGCAAGAATGGGAACTTATCTATAATTTCTAAAGATAGCCACAAGAACATTATCTTTCCTTGCTCTTCCTTAATTTCAGGATGAGAAAGTGGGTGATAGATTCTTTTGAATGATCTCTAAGATATACTACTCTTCAGATTAAAAATAATTGACCATGTAGAAGCTGGGATTAAAAACACAAACAAAATGTTTTCTTTTAGCTAAATGAGCTTGAACATTGAGACAAAGGATACCAAGTTCCAAAAAAAGGGGAAATAATTCCCAAGAGTTTGGTAACAGAATAGTTCTAATTTTCTAGTATTCCTCAAGGATTTCAGTAAGGAATAAATGAGTGCTCATATGTACCAGTCGTATAGGGCTTAGGCTCCAGATTTAAGAATTAAAATAAACTGCTCTCTTGGAACTATAAGCCCAAAGGAAAAATGATTAGCTAGTTTGTGTGTGTGGTGGGTGGGGTGGCAAAAAGGCACATGCTTCTATCTACTTGTAAGATGGGCTCTGATTTCCTTAGATATCCTCAAGTTTTTTTTTTTTTTTTAAAGATTTTATTTATTTATTTGACAGAGATCACAAGTAGGCAGACAGGCAGGCAGAGAGAGAGAGAGGAGAAAGCAGGCTCCCTGCCAAGCAGAGAGCCCGATGCAGGACTTGATCCCAGGACCCTGAGATCATGACCTAAGCCGAAGGCAGAGGCTTAACCCACTGAGCCACCCAGGTGCCCCTATCCTCAAGTTTTTAAGTCTTTTTCATCTCTCCAAATACTGTCGCTCGTCAATGTACATGTTAGATACTAAATTTGATCAATACTGACTATATTTAATATTCTAATAGTTTATCTTCTAGGCAGATGAAATGACCTTTGCAAACATTTTACCTAGAATGCAAGTATAATTTCATTTCAGCTAAAATTTAATGTTTTAACATATGAGCTCATTAAATATACCTACCAGGGGTCAAATGCACCTGTGTTTGAAAACACCTGGCTGTGGCTGTATAAATGAACCGGGGGGGGGGGAATTTTTTTCCCGTATGTGTGTATGGGTAGATCTCACTGGAAAGTCAAATTTTCCCAATCTATTCCTCATCCAAAAGAGAATGCTAAGAAGGTGATTTGATGTTTGCCCTTTAGTAACTTGTCATACTGCCTAGGAGGTAATGTGGTAGCTGAGGAAGCAAGCAGAGAAGGTAAAAATATAGATGAGAAGTCAGACTTATAGGTTCCATAGATATGAATGCCAGGTCTTATCTTAGTGATGGGACTACTCCCAACCTGGGGCCTGCACGTATTAGAAGGGTTGCTTAAGGTTTCCTAAGCTCCTAGGCTATAGGTCAAGCTACAGGGACATGCAGCTTTTATGTCAGCAATAAGACAGATACACAGCAGTAGAGTTACAGCGTATGTGTGCGGGCAGAGAACTGTTACTCTAAAAACATAATCTAATTCAGTTAAGTTTTACTGAGTATCTATTTCATGCAAGGCTCTGTGCTTGGCTGAGGAGAAGATAGGAAAATGGAAAACCGGAAAGCCTGGAAAAGACAAAGGTAGAAGGAAGTTTTGACATATCACCCATCTTTGCATCCATACGCATACACATTCACATAAAAGTCCTGTCTTCTCTCATCCTAGTTAGCCTTTCTTGCCTCTGCTGTGATACATACACTCTAGACTTTTTTCAAGCTCAAGGTCAAGACTTCTTTCCTTTCTGTAGGCTTCCCTGACTGCCTTGCTCTGAATCCCCACCACACTAAAGTATGGACTTGATGACTGAGCGCTACATTACATCCTGTCCTGGATGATTTTCCAGCAGCAGTGAGATGCTACAAGACAGTGAAATGCTTCTTCAGGTGAGGGGCTGTATAATAGCTTCTCTAAATCCCTCAAGGCAAAAACATCAGCCTGCTATTTTCCTTGAGAGTAAGGACTGATTTTATACTAATCTGCATTCTAAAAACACATGAGTCTTCAAAGAATAGAGACACCACAGATGTAGATTTCAATAATCAAGATAACCAAATCCAAAATAAAAGAAATACTTTTTATTTATAAGACTTGAGAATTTTATTTTGGATAATTTTGAGGGGAAACAAAGATCTTAGAAAAAAAGGAAAGCAAAATTAAGAAAAATGTAAAACCTTAAGATTTCTGGAGAAGCTTCAAGGAGTCAATGTAATCTGAGTTTAAGATTACTAAATTATAAGTACTTTCTGTTAAGCTATTATCTGACTAATTTTAGTTTCTTTTCTTTAAAAGACTGTTACTTATTTATTTATTTAAGAGAGAGAAAGAGAGCAGAGAGCACGGGCAGGGGGAAGAGCAGAGGCAGAGGGAGCAGCAGACTCCCCGCTGACAGGCAGCCTCATCTGGGGCTCATTGCCAGGACCCTGGTATCATGACCTGAATCTAAGGCAGACTCTTAACTGACTGAGCCAT